ACTGCTGGGGAACCCACCCTAGAGAAGAATCAGTTATGGACACATTCCCCTGGTCCTGCTCTACATGTTTTAGGAGTAAAGGTAGCAGATTCCCAGTGATGCTGTGATAGTTGAAACTTTTACACCCAGTTCAAGGTGCTGCTCCATCACAGAAGCCATAGATGTGGGAGCGTTAGGAGTAAGAGAGGACTCTGCCATCAGTCAATTTTATAGTCTGGGACAATCTCCAAACCGTGCTGCCTGCTTGTTTTAATGTACAGATTTAAAAAATTATTTCCCTTGAGTTCTCTGAGAAGAAGCTGCCAACAGAGATCCCATTACCCTAACACTGGAGATTTCCACAAAAAGGTCATTCTCCTGCATAATCATACTCTTAAATTTGAGCTGAACTGTCGGCCTCTGCCCTGTACCTGTGACGACCACTGAGTTTTCAGGGAAGCAGCTCAGCCACTCCTAAGTCAGTCCTAGCAATGATATGCCGTAGAGAACTGAGTGGGTTTCTTCCAAGGGAACCATCACTTGTCCATACAAAAACTCAGCTCAAACTAGTAGACACAAGCTAGGTAGCAGCTCACATTGGAAAGGGGCAGGGGGGGCTGGTAACAAAGGTCTCTAATTGGTCTCCAGTAAGGCACACTGGGAAACCTGCTACTGGTCCAGGTCAACTCTGGCTCTAAATGCCTTGGCGGGGCTGTTTAGCAATGGACACCGTAGCCCTGGAGTAATACTCCCCAGGAGCCAAGTCTGTACCGGAAGCTCAAAGAATCAGCCATAGGGCTCCAAAGGATTCTGTTATCCTGTAATGATACCAAATATGTCCTTAGCAGTTTAAAAGAAAACATTCACGAAACTCTTTGGGATGGGAGTAGCTTCTTTACCTCAGAAGACTGGGTACCTAAACTGCATGATTTTTCAAGTCAAATAGCAATGTCAGAGTCAGCCTGGAGCCTGGGAGCACCTTGAACCAGCCCCCAGTGTCTTCTGGGAGAAAAACACTCTCAACTACCCCCTGCTGTCAGGCAGAAAATCTCTTTAACTCTGCAGGGGCATAAATTAAATATGAGAAGAAGAGTTCGGACATAAATGTTTTGCACATGTGCAAATAAAAATCATACTGTTAATTCAATTACAAATTATTAAAGGAAAAGAAGGTCAATTCTTCCTGAGCACATCTTTGATAAAAGTTGTGCACTCTAGAGATTACTCTAACAACATTTTGCATGTGATTCAACTTCACCATAGCAGACGTATCTCAGATGACAGGACAGATCTCTACAAAGTGAGTTATCTGCGGTTGGATTTGTACTTACAAGTTCCAAACCTGAACCCTGATGGGGAGTCCAGTGCTATTTTACTTCACCAGGGAAATCTTCCTAGCAGTTTTGGAAAGAGACATATTTGCACTGCAGGGAAAATCACCCCTGCTGATGGGAATACTGATACCCAAAATCCTTTAGATCAGTCTTTCTAAACTGAGGGTCACATGGCCCCTTAAGAGCCCCCAGAATATCCCAAGGGGTTCACATGATGAAACTACAGAACCAGACATGAGAACCAACCAATAGATGGGGGTGGTGGGAGATAGTAAGCAGGGAGGGGGAGAGGAAAGAAACAAGGTAGGAGTGAGTCCCAGTTGGTAAAAGGTAGAGGAAAGAGGTTTAGACCATTAATTTAACTGTTACTTGGAGATCTGGCCATTCAAAACCCAATTTTGTTTGTACTTTCTGGAATGCACTACACATGTTCACCTTCCCAAGGCCATGTCTATGTGCCCAATAGTGCTGAGGGCTGAGAGGCTCCGAGAGGAGCATTCTTCTCTCAGCTCCGTTCTTGGGCCAAGAGAGCCCCCAGGAGAAAGTTAAAGAAATGCAAACTTTGATTCTATTTAAGGAAGAGCTTTCTAACAATCTGTGTTCTCCAAAAATGGAACGGGCTGATGAGATGCAAATGTGTTCCAGGGAAGATGGCGGCCATCTGTCAGGGTGGGTGGCAGCCCTGCACCCAGCACAAAGAGGGGCTGCTGCTGCGGAGCCACCTCAGCTTCTGAGAGCACACAGGCACCCGGATGTGGTCATGCAGATCCAAATAACAGGCGGGAGACGTGGTCAACAGTTTTGATGTTGGCTGTGCACAATTTCCTTGGAGATATGGGAGGAAAAAACCCTAACACACTGGAATGCAGCTCTGTAGTAGAGGGCAGGCTATGAGCACTGGCAAGGGTGGACAACCAGTTATTATTATTTTTTTTAATAAGTAAAGGAAAGAGCAAGCCCATTAATGTTTAAAAATCTTTCTTCAAAAGGTACTTATGTACTTGAGACTAATACCCAAGGGCAGTAGAAACAAGGATCAGGAGGATTGATGCACTGTTGGAAGCCTGCCTCAAGTGCTGGGGGAGAAGGCAGTTGGGATAGAAAAGGGACCCCTATGACAAAGATGTTGGAAATGATCGCTCTGGAGAAGAACTGTATGCTGGAAATAGGAATAAACACAATAACCTCTCAGTTTCACAAACTTCCAAAGCAGAATTTGACTGTTACTCAGAGAACTGGCTCTTCAAATTCCAATTTTCTAGAATGCATTACACATGCTCATCTTCCAAAGCCATCCTGTGTGCCCAATCGTGCAGAGGGCTGAGAGACAGAGGGGCGCACCCTTCTCTCAACTCTGCACTTGGGTCAGGAGAGTCCCCAGGAGAAAGAGGTTAACAAACATAACTTCTCAGTATCTGTATTGCAAACCCCAAAACCCCAGAGTTGCCCACATACAAGGCAAATGCCATACCTACTATACTATCCCCAAAGGACAGACAGACAGAGAGAGAGAGAGGCAGAGACAGAGTTAGAGAGACAAAGACAGAGACAGAGAGAGACAGAGCGACAGAGAAAGAAGACAAGTGCCTGCCATAGAGATACGCTGAAGGTAGGGGTAGGAGGGAAATTGGAGACACTGGCAGAGGGATAGGTGTCAGAACAATGTATAACTGAAACCCAATAATAGACAACTTTGTAACTATCTCATGTGATTTAATATTTTTTAAATGGTACTTTTGTAGGCAACAGACTGAAATACAAAATTCAAAAATACAATGAAGCCTAGTGCATTCTTGAAAGATTTTTTTTTAATCTGTTGATTTCCTTACCACAGTTAATCAAAAATAATAATAAGAGGAGAGCCACATTTCTTTCAAGGGACACATTTGGCAATAACGAGAAGGAATGCCAACGTGTGTGAGGGGGAGGTGGGGGAAGTATGGGGTCCCTACATTCGGTCTCAAGTCCATAATGCTTGGGGCTGTTATGGCTCAAGCACACAACTAGGTCTCATTTCTTTTTTCCTTTTTGAAGGGGGGCATACCCAGTGGTGCTCAGGGCTCTACACTCAGGGATCATTCTGGCAGGCTCAGGGGACCCATATGGGATGCCTGGGATCAAACCAGGGTTTTTTTGCCATGTGCAAAGCAAATGCCTTACCCATTGTACTATCACTCCAGTCCCCCAGGACTCATTTCTTTCCTTCAAACATAGAAAAACACAATTTATAAGATAAAAATGCAACTCAACAACTGAAGGTTTGAACAGAGAGCCTGCTAACTTCTCAAGATTGCGCAATGTCCACCATATCTTTCATTTTCTCTTTAATTTTTCCATCTTTCTCTCTGACCTGCCCTACTACCACCCTCCCCCGTGCCCCTGGCCCCTCAATCCAAACATGTTAGAATAAAAAAAGAAAAAAACTAATAATAATATAAGTGGAAAAAACTGACTTATTATTGTAAAAACAGTGTTTAGAGAGGGTGCTGTCTCCCAAACAGTGCTCAGGAAGTCAGAGACTCCCCAGGCAGTGTGTGCAGACAGTCTAGTGCTCTGGAGAGGCAATTCTATGGTGCTCAGTCCCTCATATTTCTGGAGGTCAGTCACAGGGTCACTCCAACAGTGCTCAGGGGGACCATGTGGTGCCAAGGACTGATGCGGGATCTCTGCCGTCAAGGCCTGGACTCTCATCTTCTCTGGCCTTCAACAGCAAAATCCTACAGAACCAGCAGTTTCAGGGTCAACACATTTTATCTTCCTAGGAGGCAACATTCTGTAATTGTCAGCTCAGTTCAGTTACTCTGCCCACAATTATTTTCCTCAGATAATCTTAAGCAGTAACTGATCCAAGTAAGTCTGATGACTATAGCTATGAGGGCAAGATTGGGCATTGTTAACTTCATGCAGGTCCAAGTGTCCTTGCCCAGGACTGGACGAAGGGGAGAGAGGCAAGTGAGAAGGGAGTGAGAATGGGCTGGCCAAGCAGAGATCAAGTGTTCCACCATCAGTGGCCCTGATAGCCCATCATGTGCCAAGGTTCGCGCACAGAACATGAATGAAGAGAAATGAATGAAGAGAGAAGGGGAAAAGGAAAAAAAGTCACTGTGGTTCATCACATATCTCATCTAGGATCTATGAGAGGAAAGATTTTATGGAACAACAAAGGCAGCATAGCCACCATTTCTGAAGGTGTTGATTCTGTCTCAGGAAAATTCAAGAACACTGATGCTGGGACAGCAAAGCCTGGCAAGCTACCCGTGACGTATTCAATATGCCAAACACAGAAAGAACAAGTCTCACGATGGAGACGTTACTGGGCCCGCTCGAGCAAATAGATGAATAACGGGAGGACCATGACAGTGACCATGATGCTGAGTGACACAAAAGTGTACCAGGATCCAAAGCTCTGGGAAGCATCAACGTACGTAAGACCGCAGACTCCAAAATATCTAGGAAGTGATAATTCTGGTATTTTTTCATCTTGGTCTTAGTATTTAGAAGTAAACAAAAAAGAAGTCAACTCAATAGAAGTCAAGGTTAACATAGATCTTAAAAACAAAAACAAAGAACTGCATAACTCCATAAACAAAAAAGTAGAGACATTTACGCCTCAAAAACACAAGGTTCCTGAGCTCCCTGAAGGGCAGCTACTGAGCTGAAACGGGGGCAGGGCCACGGGGCACTCACCTAAGGTGTCCTTCAGGTTCTTTACTAGGGAGCCCTTCTTGAGACTGTTCTTCCTCTCCACGTAGTTGGATGGCACATAGCCTGTCCTGTTGGCTGCATTCCTCACACGCCACCATGTCTTGGAGTCATCCAGCAGCCATAGCCGCTCGTTCTTCTTGATGTCCAGCTCCTGCTCTTGCTGGGCCGTGTAGTCCCACTTGGCTATAACAATCACTTCTTCTGTCATCTTTCATGGAGTTCCTTCTGCCAGCAAAACAATTGGAGAAATGCTTATTAGAGAAGCAGAATTCAAAGCATGGTAGCCTTTGAATTCACTTGAAGAACTATATGCCAACAACTCTTAATAGAACTCGGCAAAAGGTTTTCTCCCAGGTCTTGAGATGCGCAACCTCAAGATGACCTTCTTTCAACAAAATCTAATATTCTGTTTAAAAACAGCAATCTAAAAACACAGATCTTAACTTCACACACTGAGAATTCTGCATGTTCTGCCAAAAAGTGCTTCAGAAAATTCTTTGAAACATTATTAAGATTATATTCATTTGATGAAGTTCCTTGTGGCTGATATATCTACATCCATTTTCCTCAGTGTAGGACAAATTCTATGAACATACAATGACCCAACACATCCAATTGGTCCTACCAATTTAAATGAAGATACATATATAGCAATGCAAGGCAGTATCTTAGTTTGAATCCTGAAACAGAAAAGGAGATGAGTGAAAACACTGGTCGGATTCAAATCATACTTAGTATGAATAAATTGCCATTAATTTCTGTGTGCTAGTAACCAGAGCTGAGGTAAAACAGGCCCATTCAAGGGTGCCCTGAGAGACCCATTCCCATTTCTGACCACACCTTTCAGAGATCTTTTTAAGGTCAAAACAAGGTGTTAGAAACAACCAACCAACCAAAGAACAAAGAGAAGGCATGCGTGTGTGTGTGTGTGTGTGTGTGTGTACACTGTATATTTAAACCCAACTATGAATAACTTTGTACATCACAGTACATTAATAAAATAAAATTTGGGGGGAAAAAGTTCCTTTTTAGGCTTAAATTCCTGCTGCAGGGCCTTCCCTCCTCTAGGGGTGCTAGACTAGAAAGGCACATTTAAAGGAAAAGTGCACACAGCCTATAGCTTCACTTTAATGATGCATGGAACTGGATGTTGAAGCAAGCACCTGCAAGGAACCCCAACCCCCAACTCCAGCTCATGGGCTCTATCAGAGAAGAATCTCACCCCCAAACTCCAGCTCCCCAGCAGGACTAATGACATTAGAGCACAGGTAGTAATTTCCCCTCAGGTGAGGATTCCAGACCTCCCCCATTTGGAAATGCTATTGTATTTCCTTCCTTGCCTGATCTTAGCTCCATTCCACAGACCAGAAATTTCCTCATATGTTCCCTAGCTCTGTTTATCAGATCAGATAGGTCTGGTATGAACTGAGCAAGAGCCCGAAAGACCTTCTTGTGGGGTTTTCAGCAACCATTCATTCATTAATCCATTAATTTTTATATCTTGGTTTTAGGGCCACACCCAAGGGTGCTCAGCAAGGAAAGCTTCTTTAACAAATGCTACTGACAAAACTGGACACCTACATGCAAAAGAAAGAAAGAAAGAAAGAAAGAAAGAAAGAAAGAAAGAAAGAAAGAAAGAAAGAAAGAAAGAAAGAAAGAGAGAGAGAAAGAAAGAAGAAAGAGAAAGAGAGAGAAAGAAAGAAAGAAAGAAAGAAAGAAAGAAAGAAAGAAAGAAAGAAAGGCGGGCTCAGACCCCTACCTAACACCATGCACAAAAGTCAGATCAAAATGAATTAAATACCTCAACATCAGACCAAAATCCACAAGGTACATTGAAGAAAAGGTCGGCAAAATCCTTCAGGATACTGAAGCTAAAGGTATCTTCAAAGATGAAATGCCACTGACCAAGCAAGTGGAAACAGAGATAAACAAATGGGACTATCTTAAACTAAGAAGCTTCTGTACCTTAAAAGAAACAGTGACCAGAATACAAAGACAGTCTACAGAATGGGAAAGGATATTCACCCAATACCTTCTGATTAATATCAAGGATATACAAGGCACTGGGAGAACTCTACCAGCAACATTTTAACTTTAGTAACACAGTTAGGGAAGAGATTAACATTAGGGGAAAAGCGAAGGATACTAAGAAACACTGGGTAATACTTCACAACCCTCCTGTAAACTAAAATAAATAAAAATAAAACATTTACTAAAACTCACAAAAACTTGCACATGAGGCACTGGTGGAGGAATGGGTACTCGATCATTGTACGTCTGAAATGTAAGCATGAAAGTTTGTAAATCTCTAACTGTACCTCACGGTGATTCAATAATAATAATAATAATAATAATAATAATAATAAAAACTTGCACATGACGTATTAATAGCCCAAACCTGAAGGATCCAAAATGCCCATCAGTTGAGGTACTTTGATACACTCTAGTGCATCTAGATAATGAAATATTACTCAGCAATAAAAATAAATTTTTACAAAGCCACGCAGAAATAACAGAGAAACTTGACATCTATATGATGATGTGAAAGGAGCCACCTTGGAAAAGGTTGTGGTTTGCTTCCCACAGAAAACCTGCTCCTGATTCAGGCTCACGAGGTACCTCCCAAACCTTCACCCAAGCAGCTCTCAGACAGCCCTGTTTCCCAGGCATTCCCAATTTCAGCAAGCTTCCTGCTCTCCTGTTTTAGTCAGAGTCCTCTACCTTCTCCCAGGTGCTGTCTTCTCATGTGGCTTATATTTTAAAAAAATCTCTTAGGGTCAGTTTAGGCAGAATTTCCACACCTGGTATCCTCATCATCTCTGGTGTTCCCCTTCAGTAATTTCCCATTTATTTACCCTTTCTCCTGCTCATGCTGCAAATTCCCACTCACACTCCTTGCACTCAAGAGGTGAATCTAGTCAGCCACTGCCCCTGTGAACAGTCCTCCAGTACAGAGTTGGCCTCAATGCTCTCAGAGCCATGAATGATTCTCTAATGATTCCATAGACACCATATGACATTCTGGAAGAGGCAAATTATGGAGAGAGCAAAATAAAGAATTAAATCAGTGGCTTCCAGGGGCAAGGGAGAGGGGAAGATAAATTGTCAGAAGACTTTTAGGACTATGTAAATTTTTTGCTCGAAAGCATTATTTTTAAAAATAATAGTAAATACTCGTCGATTTGCTCGAGCGGGCCCAGTAACATCTCCATTGGAGACTTTGTTGTTACTGTGTCTGGCATATCAAATACTCTCGGTAGCTTGCCGGGCTCTCCGAGAGGGGCGGAGGAATCGAACTCGGGTCGGCCATGTTGGCCGCGTGTAAGGCGAACGCCCTACCCGCTGTGCTATCGCTCCAGCCCACATGTCATCATACATTTACCAAGTACAGTATACATGCAAAACACCAGGAACAAGCCATAATATACTACTGTTCTAATAAAGTTTATTAAGATAATATGTAACTAGCATGTTATGTGTTTAGCTAAGTTTTAAGGTAAGATGGTAGCTAGCAAAAGTATTTTTAAAAAAAGTCCCGCAAAAGAATACTTGAGTGAACTGGAAGGAATAGGTCAAAAATGGATCCGGATTTCTTAGGTGGAAGATGGATATTAAAAGTCTGATACTCAGTTCCTCAATTGTCCAGAAGTTTCCTCAAAAATTCAAAAACTAGTTTGATGGAAAGACAACTGCAACATTCTTCCTCTGTGGCAGAGGCATGCCTGCTCTTTCATGGGGTTCCTTTAGGGCCACAGAGGGGCTGATGCACAGACGTTATGAGCGCATAGATCCGATTCTAAATAATATGACAGTTTCTAGCCGACACTAAAGAAACGCTCCGCTTTCCTGAATTCACCCCCAAATCTGGAGACCACAAACCCAAGGAGGAGGAAGTGTAATGCATAAGGTATGCAATTACTAAGAGGGTAAGAATTTACCCTTCACTGTTGGTGGGAATGTCGACTGGTTCAGCCCTTCTGGAAAACAGTATGGACGATTCTCAAAAAATTAGAAATTGAGCTCCCATTTGACCCAGCAATACCACTCCTGGGAATATATCCCAGAGAGGCAAAAATGTATAGTCGAAGTGACATCTGCACTTGTTTGTTCATTGCAGCACTCTTTACAATAGCCAGAAACTGGAAGAAACCTGAATGCCCAAGAACAGATGACTGGTTAAAGAATCTTTGGTACATCTACACAATGGAGTACTATGTAGCTCTTAGAAAAGATGAAGTCATGAAATTTGCATACAAGTGGTACAACATGGAAAGTATCATGCTAAGCGAAATGAGTCAGAAAGAGAGGGATAGACATAGAAAGATTGCATTCATCTGGGGGATATAAAGTAACGAAATATGAGATTAATACCCAAGAATAGCTGAGATCAGCACCAGGAGGATTACTCCATAGCTTAGTGGCCAGTCGGGCATTCTAGAGGAAAGGGCAGCTCAGACAGAGAAGGGAACACCAAATAAAGGGTGTTTGGAGGACCCTCCCAGGAGGGGAGATGCATGTTGAAAGTGGACTATGGACTGAACATTTTTGCCACTCAATGCCTCTTTTGCAGACCACAACACCCAAAAGGAGAGAGAGAACACAGGGGATTGCCCTGCCACAGAGGCAGGGGGGGATGGGGGGATGGGGGTGGGGGGGATATTATCCATGGTGGTGGAAAATGGGCACTGGTGGAGGGATGGGTATCTGATCATTGTACAATCAAACCCAAGCACAAAAAATTGTAAATCTACAACTGTACCTCATGGTGTTTCAGTAATAAAAAAAAATATTAAAAAAAAAAGAGGGTAAGAGTTTACACAACCTCATTTCAAACTGTAGACCATTTTGTTGTTTACTTTTGATAGTGTTGGAGTCAGATAGTTCAATTGGTTGCCTTGCATATAGTCAACATCAGTTGATCTGCTCACCACCACGACCTCTACTACCCGGCACTGCCAGGACCATCCCTCCCTAGCACAGAGCTTAGAGCATCACCTGGTGGCACCTTCACTCCCCCACCACAGAAGTTTCGAGTCCATACCCTGCATATATCTCTCTCTTCCCTCCCTCTCTCCCTCTCTATTCCCTGTCTCTCTGTACCTGTGTGTCTCCCTCTGTCTCTGTCTCTCTGTCTCTACCCCCCTCCCCAACCCCATCTGTCAGGTTACTTTTGAAAATCATGAGGGTGGCTGGTGTTGTTTTTCTTTTTAATATCAAATGTGATG